GAATTCTATCATTTCATGATCGCTAATACTTCTGTGTATTGTGTACACTACTTTTGGGATGAAAATAACCACTGTAGGAATATCTATTTCAATGTTAATAAACAGTTTTTGCTTATGGCTCATCAGGCTGCTTCCAGACAAAATTAGATTATACCTGGGATTCTTGTAATAGCCGTCTCATAACATCCCTTTATAAATGAATGAACCTGTACATACATAAATCACTCTGCACTAACTAAATTTGCTGTAATCTATTTAAAGATGATCAATCTACTAATCAACATTTTAATCTCCTGCACGACAGCGAATCTTGATGGTCCAGCTTTTGGGGGAGGGGGGGAAAGGCTTAATCTTTCAGTTCCTGAAATGCAGTGTACTCTTGAATATTTTGCCTCTTAATACCAAGTGGCACAGACTGAAGAAACAGAATGTGCAAGTTTTAACAGTGGCCTCAAGTGCAAGTTATGGCACTTACGTGTTTGTTGTCTCTGTGGTGACTGACTCCCCTGACTTCCCAGGGCCCTGTATAGACTCCATGGCTGTGGAATAGAGAACTTTCTGCCCTCCAGGACGTTTTGAGTCCGACATGCTCTGGGAACTCTCTCCCTCTTTTTCCTTCATGTTACTGTTCAATATGTGGATTCCCAGTAGCAGACTGTAATCCATGATCTTAAAACTTTCTAGAACCTGCCAACAAAGAAGAAACAGCTACACTGAAACAAAGAAAGACTACTTATAATATCAATTACACAGCAGCATTTTGAAAACCCAAGTAAAAACAGGCTTTCTTTAAAGCACGAGTTTCTATTATTAGGAAAACGTGTGAAATTATAATTACACAAAAATATTTCAGTACCCCACAGAAGTCAAAGTGCTAGTTATCTCATTAGCTCAATGTTCTTGTTAGAAGTGGGAAAGGAGAATCCATAGCTGAAATGTAGCCCAATGTTATTTTGTAGTCAAGGAAGGTATGTCCAGTCAGCACCTTTTTCACTTATAGTGAATAATCAATATGTAGTGCCACCATATAGTTATGAACTGTAGACATTTTTGAAGTCACCTCTAATGCATGTTTCAGAGTTTACTCAGCATTTTTGCCTAGACTACTCTCTACCTCCCCTCCAGCTCCTGTTTGTAATTGAGAAAGCATTATTGGAGAACTTTCAAATGTCAAAAAAAACACATTTGCTACCATCCTCTCTTTAACAGCCGATGGAATTTGCGTTAAAAAATCACGTACATCTCTTCATTAGGCTAAATAGGGCCTATCTAAATTGGAAAGGCAGTTTTATTTCTGAAGCACGACTTAACCAAGCAGCCTTCTCTCCTAGCTCTACCAACCATTTTGGCCTCTGTCAGTAGGCGAGCTCCCTTCCTTCTTTCATGCACATGTACGCCATAAGCTTCTAGTCAGTTATACCGCGACGAAGTCTGGCAAACTGCCATTAAAAGGAAACACAGTTCAAGCCAATATGCAAACATGAACTAAAACAAGCTGTGATTGCCTCTAGTAATAAAACCAAACTGTTAGAAGACAGCAACTCTGTCAGATATCTTCTATGACTGCAGTGCTACATGGAGGGAGAAAAACCAGTAGCAACCAGGAAGGATATGCTGTGCCACTCACCTCTCCTTTACTTCACACAGCTCAGTGGTGACTGATGATAGGTTTTGGCACACAGTGCCCTCAGACAATGGTGTAATTCTTGGCACAGAATCAAGAGGCAATAGTACATCTTTTTACGTGAACAAGAACAAAATCTGATTTTGCAGAGATGACAAAGAGCAGTAACTCCAGCTATGCCATTTTGATGAAGACTGTCAAAGTATAAATATTTTTACACAAAACACTGAGATGGCCTGTGAACTTTAAGACACATTTTGCAAATCCAAAATCAGATTTGTTTGCAATCACCAGGAAATGTCTAGTGGTCTGTGAAACTGTATGAAGAGGAAAAGGGACTTTACTACTTAACACATACCCAGAGATAATTTTAACTCCAATACCCAAGCACACCGGCAAAGAGGTAGAAAAGCTCTGTTCCACTCCATCTGTATTTCTCATGTACTCATTATATTAATTAGAAGCCAAATGTAAAATACTGCTGAATTATTTTCAAGCTCTGGCATTTATCTTCCATGAAGAACATGACATCTGAATTTTAGCACTGCTGTAAGCATTTAAAGGGAAGAAACACTGTAATCTAAGTGTAGAAATGCATGGCCTCATTCTGATTTCCAGACAGAAAGCAGGAGTTTAAAAAGCCATGGTAGGTTTGATCTCGCCCAGAGTAACCCTACACCAAGATGGCTTAGTTCAAATGGAAAAGAAAAAGGCTGGTAACATACGGCCCTGAGTACCTGCACAGCATCCTCTGATGACACAACTCCCACCTGGTCCCTGGACACAACAAAAAAGCATGTTCTAAATTACCAAACAAGATAATGAAGTTTTATGGCACACTGTGGAGGAACACTGGCTTCCTGGTTTATCATCATGAGTTGCAAATACAGTGCAACTAACAGGTACAGAGGCACAGACGTTTGGTGCCAAACAAGTTCTAGAATTTTCTTTACTGCTTGCTTATTCCTACCCTTTTCTCAGCCTTTCTTAAAAAGAAATCACTATATAGTGTGATCATTAAAAATATGTAACCAGTGGATGTTTGCCACCAAATACTGCAAGTAGATTCTGGCTAGACAAAACAAAACAAAACAAACCCCAAAGAGACACCAAAAAACACAAACCAAAAACCCTACAATTCATCCTATTCTCTATAAAAAAAAAACCCCTTAGCTTAGTAGTACAGTCAGCAACACTGATTATGCAAAGCTAGGTTACAGCAGCTGGTCAGGCCTGGTAAAAGCATCGCTGCTTTCATTTCACAGTTATAAACATAACTGCTGACGGCTCTACCTTCAACGTGCTCTTTACTACCTTTTGAATTAGACTACATTAGACGTATTATGATTTAACTGCACTAATTACATAACCTGTGCCTAGGATGGTATATAGTCTCATGGAAGGCTGTTGTATAGTATGTTGCTGCTTCTTCCACAAAGACCTGCCGTATGACAAAGTTCATCTTTCTGACTGTATCAATTTGCCACTGTCACTTAAACCTATACTACTTGTACTATACAATGGACTAAAAATTTCTTCGCCTTTTTATGACTTTGTTCTAGGATTGCTAAAAAAACCCCCACAAAAACAAGTAGCTATTTATGTTATTCCAGCTCATTATGAAATCAAAGCACCTGCATATCCAATGGACCAGCTGCAGTACATATTCTCAGAAACAGCACATAACATATGAACTAGTCCCTGTCCCCTGGCCACCCTACTCAACGTCCTACTCAGATGCAGGATTGCCCGGTCTACAAAGTGTTTTCATGATATCATAATATGATCTGCCCCTCTGCCTACTGGTTTGACATACAGTTCTGACGACCTCCCCTTAGAAATTTGATAACCAAACCGCCACTCTGAATGCAAATACCCACGTTTCAACCAGATCTGAGCATGTTTTAAACCCTGTTTGTTTCTAAGGAAAATTCTTATCGGAAATAATTAAGCAGCATAACAAGGAGGAATCTCAAACATCAGCATTCAACAAAAACTTACTTTGTGTCAAACTCTGCAGTGTGTATTAAGATAGAAATTTTACTCCAGTCAGTGAGATTTCCAGCTCAATATATCTGAACGGTTCTCGCATAAGTATCATCATTAATATTTAAAATATCAAATAATGATTATTTTCAAACTTCTAAGTAACATTTTGCACACAGAGTTGTACAAATTAATCTGGTATGTCAAGGAAAAATTACAGAATGCAGCACATCAAGCTACTTCTGAACATGCAGCTTCCTATGATAACACAAAAGGCATCGGGCTTTTCCTGGGTAGGGGGTTGCTTGTGAGTAGCTCTGATGACTTTAGAGGGAACTGCTTTCGAGAGCAGCAGCAAGTTTTTGCTACAAAGGTACCAACATGATATCCTAATCTAATGAAAAAACACTCAAACTCAAAAGGACTATATCCATAGTGAAACGAGAAAGCCCTTTAAAAAACTGATGCCAGTCATGTGAGATCACTGGAAATGGACATTAATTCCCAGAAATACAACCCTTGTGTAGTTAAAGTGAGAGAAGACCAATCTTTAGTCATGTACTCACTTTGAAATGCACTTCGCCAGCAAAATGGCACTGGAAGATTTCATCGAGAACATTCTTATTTGTCAGTACACAGCACGATTAAGTGTTGCATTTGATAATGACAAGTAAGGATTCAGTTTGTTAACTCAACATTAAATCGTCCATCTTGTTTGCATTTATATACGTATCATTTCACTAGCTACACAGATGCTGTCAACACGATGATGTCGCTTGGTCACGAAGTACTGCTTGCAAGTTTGGCTTTAGCAGCTCTGACAACTTCCAGATGGCAAGTGTCGCTCATCCCCTTCTAGCCTTAAGCACTATTTTACTTTCATAAAAACCCCTGTGAAATGGCATTGCAAAATGTGTTGTTTCAGAGCATGGAAAAATAACTCCCTGAATCAGATTTTCTTTTCTCTGAGATAACGAGATGTTAAAGCATCCTGCGGATCATCTTAGACATGGTTACACTCAGCTATCTCAGACAGTGACTAAGAGCAAAGTAAGTATTTCTGCCGTGGAATTTCATTTTTATTTTAGATGCAGCTCAAGCTGTGTACTGCCTGACAGAGAAATCTGCATTCACATTGCTACCCATGCAAAGCAACGCAAGTCGGCAGGTCATTTTCAGAAAACAAGGAAAAAGCTACACAAAAAAAAAAAAGTAATTTCACAAGCTTATGAAATGCAAAAACTAGAAGAACAACCATGCAAGAATAACCACCCAAGCAAGCATGGTTCTTCTCCTACAAGCACTTTGGAACATGGACACCGGAACTAACGTAACAGAAAGAAGACTGGTTTCACACCTAATCAATAGTTACTCTCCAACATAAGCAGATCAACAAAAATCCCACAAAAGAAAGGACTATCTTGGAAAAAAAGCATTTCTTAGAAACAGGCGTCCAAATGTCAAGTGCCTAGTAATGGGTCTGGTCTATCCCAAGAAAATAAATTGCCAAGCCTCCCATCGTATATGTGGAGTCAATTCCCATTTCAGGAGAATTTTTGACACACAGTGTTAAGAAACTCTCCTAAACACTACAATCTGGTTTCTTGATTTTCCAAGTAGAGAAATCTGGAATTTCATTTCATACTGCAGGACTGATAATGGGTATACACAAGAGATCTGCAGAATCATACCATGTGCATTTTCCTCAAACTACCATTTCTGACAAAGAGGGCCTTCATCCAAGATTAGTGCACTCTTCACCACCATGCCACTACATCTATCATTTTTCTGCTCTATCCTGCAGTTCAGTACTCCCTCAAGTTGTGACAACTCTACTGTTTGTAAGGTCATGCTGTAGAACGGGTCACCAAAATCATCTGGGTATAATAAAAAAATCATCTGTGTAGACCTTTTGAGGTAGGAAAAAAAGATAAGAAAACCAACACTGCCCCTCTCACCCTCCCCCAAGGGTTTTGAAAATCAAATGAATAAATTTGATCACAGAACGCCTCTGTCACAGCTGCTTCAGCACAAACCGGATACACGTTTGTGACATCAAGGTTGAGACACTTGCAGC